TCTCTTGGGCCGTCTTGGGGGCCTCTTGGGCGCCTCTTGGGCCCGTCTTTGGCTCTCTAGGACCATCTTGGCGGTCTTGGAGGCATCGTGGGACCATCTCTGGGCCCATCTTGGGGCTATCTTTGGCCCTCTTGGGACCATCTTGGCCATACCGGAGGCATATTGGCCACATCGGAGGCCATCATGAGGCCATCTAAGCGAACAAACCGACGAGACAGGTAGCCGGCACGCAGTGCCAAAGGCTCAGGGAGAGTTGTAAAATAATCCAGGACCTTTCAGAACGTCCAGCATGCTGGGCACCCCTGTGGCAAGCCAACGAGGGACGGCGGATCGAAGACGCCTACGGCGAATCACCGCCGCCCCCCGCCTTTCGGAATCGCACATGTGGCCGAGCGTTGTTGCAAAAGCTCTGCCAACCTATCGGACCATGTGCTCCTCCAGCCGCTGCGGAAACCCTTCGGGGCACACTTGGGGGAGGATGGCGGGGAAGATCATGAGAAAGAGGAGGACCAATGTAAACCCAAGAGTCATCAACGGTGTTGGAATACACCCTCCCTCCAAGCTCCCTCTTCATAGGCCCCTACAACGGGTCATTGCCATTGAGGGAACTGCCCCGTTGGAAGACAATCGTTTGAAGGCCCTCAAGCATGCCAAAACATTGCTCTCGGGATTCCAACGCCACGGATCAACCTGACCGTTGCGTTTTGACGGTTCTGAATCGTGCCATAACGCCATTCTTGGGACTGCAGCACTGCGAACCACAGTAACTGTTGCACCCGCAAAATCCTGAATCCTTTCTAAACGCAGTTTCTGGTATTGAAATCATGAGAATCAATGAAAGCCTTAAGGATTGTATGAACGAATGTGCGCGGCGCTGAGGCGGGCGCCACATTTTGAAAACGAACCGCCTTCAATCCGTGAAACTCATGCAATTTTTTACTGCGAATGTGCGCGGCGCTAAAGCGAGAGCCTCATTTTAAACGGGTGGCCCTCAATCAGTGAAACTATTGTGATTTGTTACAGCGAGAGTGCGCGGCGGTAGAAGTTTTACAGCGAATGTGCGTGGCGCTAAGGCGAGAGCCACATTTTGAAAACGGACCGCCTTCAATCCGTGAGAGTATTACACATGTTTTGAAAATAATGTGCGCCGCGCTAAGGCGAGAGCCACATTTTGAAAACCACCCGCCCTCCATCTGCGAAACTGTTGCCAACTTGTAAGCTTCAGGGTCATACATGCTGAGGAGGTCTCAGGCGAAACGCCCGGTCCGCCGTAAAAGCTGGCCTCGGGGTGCGACAGGGAGAAGTTACTTCGAAGGAAAAGGAATGGAGTAGGAGGAGGAGGAGGAGGAGGAGGAGGAGGCGGAGGAGAGGAGGGAGGAGGAGGAGGAGGAGGAGGAGGAGGAGGCGGAGGAGGAGGAGGAGGAGGAGGAGGAGGAGGGGGAGGAGGAGGGAGCAGGAGGAGGAGGAGGAGCAGGAGGAGCAGGAACCAGAGGAGAGGAGGAGGAGGAGGAGAGGAGGAGGAGGAGGAGGAGGAGGAGAGGAGGAGGGAGGAGGAGGAGGAGGGCATCTTGGGAGCCTTTGGGGGGCACTCTTGGGGTCTCCTGGTCGCTTCCTGGGAGCCTCTTGGAGGCATCTTGGGGGCCTCCTTGGGCCTCTTGGGGGCCTTTGGGGGCTTCTCGGGGGCCTCTTTGGCAGTCTTGTGGCATTCCTGGCCCATCTGACGCTGTCGGAAGCCGTCTTGGGGTCCTCTCTGGGCCGACTTGGGCACTCTTGGGTGCTCCAGGGCCGTCTTGGAGGCCATCTTGGGCACCTTGGAGGCCTCTTGGGCCGTCGTGGGGCCCTCTTGGGGCCGTTTTGGGGGCCTCCTGGGGCGTTCTGTGGCCATCTTGGAGGCCTCTTGGGCGATTTTTAAGCGATCTGAATGGACTCTTGGGCCGTCTCGGGCCGTTGGAAGGCCGAAACGAAACAAATGCTAAAATCCGTCAGAAACTTAAGGAATATCATGATTCTGGGCTCTTCGGGCCTTCCAGGAGGCCCTCTCTGAGCCCTCTTGGGCCGTCTTGGAGACCTCTCGGGGCCTCTTGGGCCGTCTTGGGCCATCTTGGAGCCATCTTGGGCCGTCTTGGAGGCTTCTTGGGCGGACTTAGGCAACGCGGGCCCTCTTGGGCCATCTTGGAGGCCACCTTGGACCATCTTGTGCGAGCTGGAAGGCCATCTTGGCCGTCTTGGAGGCCATATACCGCCTTGGAGACATGGGTTGCGCAGCGGCGCGGCCTTCCGGATGGTCAGCGCGCGCTGGGCCAAAGCCCCAGAGGGAGTTCTCCAGGGAAAGAACCAAACCAAACCCTTCAGGACGGCCCATCCCGCCACCGTGCGCAGGGTGAGCGTTGATGGCCCTCAGGCTGACGGCGCAGCGCTGCAGTCCGCGGCCAACGTCGCGACGGCAGCGGCGGCGGGCGGCCCTTTCCTCCCCCCTCCTCTCGGCGGCGGCGGCGGAGGCGGCGGCCCCGTCGGCGCCCCTCCTTCCTCCGGGGGGGGCGGTTGGGTGGACTGAAGCTCTGGTAAGGCGCCGGCAGGCAGAACCATCTGCCACGGCGGCCTCCGAGCAGGCTGACCCCGCGCGCCCCGGCCAAAGGCCGGGGAGCTTGCGGCAAGGCCAAAGGACGCCTACCGCATTTTCACTATTGTATTTGTTTGTGAGGGTCTCTTGGGCTGCCCCTCGGGGGACTCGGAGAACTCTTGGGGGCTTCTGGGGGGCCTCTGGGGTGTTCCTCGGGGCGTCCTGGGGGCCTCCTGGGGGCCTCTTGGGGCGTCTTGGGGGGGGGCCTCGGAATCCTCTAGGGGGCTCTTGGGGCAATCTTGGGGCGGAAGGCTCGAGTTGTTCGTTCGTGTCCCTCCTCTTGGGCCCCTCTTGGGGACGTCTCGGGTGCCTCTTGGACGTCTTGGGGGCCTCTTGGGTAGTCTTGGGCCCTCCTGGGGCCGTCTGGGGCCCTCCTGGCGGCCTCTTGGGCAGGCCTCGGGCGCTATCGGGGGCGTTCTTGGGCCGTCTTGGAGCGTCGGAAGCTGAGCAAGTCTAGAAGCCAAAAATCGTTCAAACAAAATGATCATCTTGGCTTCTTACAGAGGTCCAATTTGGCCTCTTGGGGGCTTCTTGGGGCGTTCTTGAACGCTCTTGGGCCGTCTTGGAGACCTCTTGGACCCTCTTGGTTGCTTCTTGTTCGCTTTCGGGAGCTCCTGGCAGTTTTCAGGAGCTCCCGGAAGTTGTCCGATCCAGCTGGAAAGCCGTGGGTCCGGGCCGGTACGAACCTTTCGGCCCCCTCTACCTCTCAGGGCTGCAGGGCTGCATGAGCCTTCGGCACTCCACTACGTGCTGAAGGCTCGGTGGCGGACATCATCTTTAGGGCGGGTGGCAGCAGGGTTCCAGTAAGTATGCCCGAGTGCTTTGACGCCGCTAATCGATTCGGAGGCGGGTCCTGTCCTCTAAGCTGGCCCTGCAGCATCGAGGGTGCACTGCGACAGCGGCCAGCCTGACACCCTGAGCTTCTGTCCCAAACCTGCTCGTGCCTCTTTTGCTCCCCTTTCCTTCTTCTTCTTCTTCGTATTATTATTATTATTATTCTGATTGTTACTATTCGTCTTCTTTTTCGTACTATTCGTATTATTCTTCTTCTTCATCATATTATTATCAGTATGCCTCCTCTTTCTCTTCTTCGCATTCATATTGTTATTCCGCTTCTTCATTAAGATTCGACGTTGCGAAACATGCCACATCGCGAACAATCATGAGCAGAGCCCTGGACCCCATCTTTTCGCTGTATTTCCTCGAGCCAGATCGGCGTGTGATGGTCCCGGGGCCCAGAGCTGGCTGAACACTTTTTTTTGTTTTACAGCCGGAGGCGGAAGCGCCAGCGGCGGAAGGTCGCGAACGGGCCGTGGACGCGACTAAATTACCTAGCACGCGCAGGGCCGCGGATCAGGCAGCTGGCTGAACACGCCCTGCGTGAAAAAAATCGCGACGCCTGGATATGTTGTTGTTTGTTTGTTCTTGTCGTTATTCGTATTCTTAGTTTGTTGATTATAATTGTTCTTCTTCGTCCCCTTCCCGCTGCCCTTTTCGCCCCCTGAGGTCTTGAGCCCTTCCCCAGGACAGTTTTTCATACCGAGTCGCCATTTGACGGCCCCAGGGCAGGTGAGGGCCCCCAGAGTCGGAACATATGCAAAAGCCCCCCGCCGTGATCTCGCCGCCGCGAGAGTCATTGGGGGTTTCTATCATTGTTTCTTTTCTCCTCCTTATTATTATTCATATTCTTCTTCTTCTTCTTAATATTTTTTCTTCTTCTTCTTATTATTCTTCTTATTTCCCCTGCCGCCCCACGAACCCCGAGGACCGAGCTCGAGGAAACCACACCTGTCGAAAACATCCTTTCCATCGTCGGAGACTCGGCAGCGCCCCAGCTGGCCGAGATCCTGGGTACCGGCGGCTCGAGCGGCCCCTGGGGGCCGCCCCCCGAACAATCCCCGGGGCCGAGAGCGGTGCCTGCCTCCCCATCTCCAGGCCCCAAACCGTGTGGTGGCTACACCGCGGGGTGAGCCAGTGAGGATCCCAGACCCCCTCGAGCCATGAAGAAGACACGACGGGAGGTTTTTTTGTTGTTTTCGTATTTGGGAGCCCGTGCCGGGCCGCGGGACCGTCCAAAAACGACTCAGGACGAGAAGCCAGTCCTGGGGAATGGGTCGAGACCTCTGTGGGTCGACGTCAGAAAAAACAAAAAACACGACGTCGGGGGTCTGGGATTCGAGATCACCGCGAGGTTTTTTGGGACTCGGGTCGCTCTCCGGCGGCCGGGGCCTGCAGGGGCCCAGGCCCTGTGGTGACGGGCCGCGCGGTGAGGTCTTCGGGGGTTCCGAGGTCAACACGCGGTCCGTCACCACACGGTCTCGGGGCCCCGAATCCCCCCCCCCCCTGCGGCCTCCCTCCCCTCCCAGCGGCCGCGGCCCAGGCGTGCCCAGGCGCCCGCAGCGCGCCAGCGCCCGCCCACGGCTGGCCGCGGCCTCGGTGGCGCCATGCGGCGCGTCCCGAGCGCGCGGGCGGGCCCGCGGCGGCTTGCCCCCCCCCCCCCCCACCACCACCACACCCAGGCATCCCTCCCTCTCCCTCCCTCTCCCTCTTCCTCTACAGACTCGGCTCGAGAGCGCGCTGCTCTCGGGGCGAACCCTCGACACGTAACCTTCGACGCCCTTCAGCCCGGCGAGATTGTAAGTACGTCGGGCACCCTCTACAGGAGGAGCACTCAAGAATGGTAAACAATCGTCTGGTGAAAATTTTGTTGTGCTCTTTCCCCAAACAGCTTGCTGAACGGGGTGCTGTTGTGATAGAAGCTAATTCCGGCCGAGGGAAAGCTAAGCAGAGACATCCTCAAACAAATGTGGTGGTCCGGCCCGTTTCGCCTGAGACGTCCTCACAACTCTCGTTTCTGAGTTGTCCGGGATTGAGCGTTTCGCCTGAGACATCCTCCTAAATCTGAGCTCTGAGAGGCCGCGCGAGAGGTGGTCCGGGCCGTTTCGCTTGAGACATCCTCGAAACTCTGAGCTCCCAGATGCCGCGCGAGAGGTGGTCCGGGCCGTTTCGCCTGAGACATCCTCGCAACTCTGAGCTCCAAGATGCCGCGCGCGAGGTGGTCCGGCCCGTTTCGCCTGAGACATCCTCGAAACTCTGATCTCCCCGATGCCGCGCGCGAGGTGGTCCGGCCCGTTTCGCCTGAGACATCCTCGAACTTCTGAGCTCTGAGATGCCCTGCGCGAGGTGGTCCGGCCCGTCTCGCCTGAGAAATCCTTGCAACTCTGAGATCTGAGATGCCGTGCGCAAGGTGGTCCGGCTTGTTTCGCACAAGATATTCTCGCAACTCTGAGCTCTCAGATGCTGCGCAAGAGGTGGTCCAGCCTGGGGGCCCAGAAGGCCACATGTTACATATCCTCCATGGGACCCTGCGAGCCTCAGGAGGCCCCAGAGAGGTCCAGGAGGCCGCAGGACGCCCAGGACAGGCCCCAGGGGTCTCCAGGAGATTCCCAGGAGGCTCCCAGGAGGCCCCAGGAGGCCGCTTATCAGAACGTGTCAAGTTAATACACATCCGGTGTCGATTCGTTGATTTTTCCTGCTCTTGTGCCCCCCCCCCCCTCCATTTGGAGAGGCCCAAACGGCCACAGGTTAGATATCCCCCCTGGGAGCCCCAAGAGGCTTCAGGAAACCCCAGGTGGAGTTCAGGAGGCCACAGGAGGCCCAGGAGGAAGCTCCAGGAGGTCCCCAGGAGGCCCAGGAGGCACCAGGAGGCCGCAGGACGCCCAGGACAGGCCCCAGGGGTCTCCAGGAGATTCCCAGGAGGCTCCCAGGAGGCCCCAGGAGGCCGCCTATCAGAACGTGTCAAGTTAATACACATCCGGTGTCGATTCGTTGATTTTTCCTGCTCTTGTGCCCCCCCCCCCTCCATTTGGAGAGGCCCAAACGGCCACAGGTTAGATATCCCCCCTGGGAGCCCCAAGAGGCTTCAGGAAACCCCAGGTGGAGTTCACGAGGCCACAGGAGGCCCAGGAGGAAGCTCCAGGAGGTCCCCAGGAGGCCCCAGGAGGCACCAGGAGGCCCCCGCAACTCGGAGCTCTGAGACGCCGCGCTCGAGGTGGTCCGGCCCGTTTCGCCTGAGACTTCCTCGCAGCACGTTTCGCCCGAGACATCGTCGCAACTCTGGGGTCCGAGATGCCGCGCGCGAGGTGGTCCAGCCCGTTACGCTGGAGACATCCTCGCAACTCTAGGCTCCGAAATGCCGTTCGCGATGAAGAGGAGGTGGAGGAGGAGGAGGAGGAGGAGGAGGAGGAGGAGATGGAAGGGAGAAGGAGGAGGCGGATGATGTGCATGAGGGAGCAGGCAGGAGGAGGGGGAGGTCCCAGAGAGCTTCAGGAGGCCGCAGGACGCCCAGGACAGGCCCCAGGGGTCCGCAGGAGATTCCCAGGAGGCTCCCAGGAGGCCCCAGGAGGCCCTCTATCAGAACGTGTCAAGTTAATACACATCCGGTGTCGATTCGTTGATTTTTCCTGCTCCTGTGGCCCCCCGCTGTATTTGGAGAGGCCCAAACGGCCACAGGTTAGATATCCCCCCTGGGAGCCCCAAGATGCTTCAGGAAACCTCAGGTGGAGTTCAGGAGGCCACAGGAGGCCCGGGAGGAAGCCCCAGGAGGTCCCCAGGAGGCCCCAGGAGGCACCAGGAGGCCCCCGCAACTCGGAGCTCTGAGACGCCGCGCTCGAGGTGGTCCGGCCCGTTTCGCCTGAGACTTCCTCGCAGCACGTTTCGCCCGAGACATCGTCGCAACTCTGGGGTCCGAAATGCCGCGCGCGAGGTGGTCCAGCCCGTTACGCTGGAGACATCCTCGCAACTCTGGGTTCCGAGATGCCTTTCGGGATGAAGAGGAGGTGGACGAGGAGGAGGAGGAGGAGGAGGAGGAGGAGGAGGAGGAGGAGGCATGTTTTAACATGCCATGCCAGCCCGCACTAGGCGGGCACGCAATCGACCTTGGAAACCGCAGTGGGTCTAAAAACCCTGTTTGGGGATACTGCACTCCGGCTATAATTTGGTTTTTCCCCAAACAGCTTGCTGAACGGGGTGCTGTTGTGGTAGAAACTAACTCCGGCCGGGGGAAGTCAGAGCAGAGACATCCTCACACAAATTTTATGGTCCGGGCCGTTTCGCTTGAGACATCCTCACAACTCTCGTTTCTGAGTTGGCCGGGATTGGCCGTTTCGCCTGAGACATCCTCGAAAAGTTGCGCTCCGGGACGCCGCGCGAGAGGTGGTCCGGGCCGTTTCGCTTGAGACATCCTTGAAACTCTGAGCCCCGAGGTGCCGTGCGAGAGGTGGTCCGGGCCGTTTCGCCTGAGACATCCTCGAAACTCTGAGCTCTGAGATGCTTTGCGCGAGGTGGTCCGGCCCGTTTCGCCTGAGACATCCTCGAAACTCTGAGCTCTCAGATGCTGCGCAAGAGGTGGTCCAGCCTGGGGGCCCAGAAGACCACATGTTACAGATCCTCCATGGGACCCTGCGAGCCTGAGGAGGCCCTAGAGAGCTCCAGGAGGCCGCAGGACGCCCAGGACAGGCCCCAGGGGTCCCCAGGAGATTCCCAGGAGGCTCCCAGGAGGCCCCAGGAGGCCCCCTATCAGAACGTGTCAAGTTAATACACATCTGGTGTCGATTCGTTGATTTTTCCTGCTCTTGTGCCCCCCCCTCCATTTGGAGAGGCCCAAACGGCCACAGGTTAGATATCCCCCCTGGGAGCCCCACGAGGCTTCAGGAGACCCCAGGTGGAGTTCAGGAGGCCACAGGCAACTCGGAGCTCTGAGACGCCGCGCTCGAGGTGGTCCGGCCCGTTTCGCCTAAGACTTCCTCGCAGCACGTTTCGCCCGAGACACCGGCCCGTCTCGCCTGAGACATCCTCGCAACTCTAAGCTCTGAGATGCCGTGCGCAAGTTGGTCTGACCCGTTTCGCACAAGACATTCTCGCAACTCTGAGCTCTCAGATGCTGCGCAAGAGGTGGTCCAGCCTGGGGGCCCAGAAGACCACATGTTACATATCCCCCCTGGGACCCTGGGAGCCCCAGGAGGCCCCAGAGAGCTTCAGGAAGCCGCAGGACGCCCATGACAGGCCCCAGGGGTCAGCAGGAGATTCCCAGGAGGCTCCCAGGAGGCCCCAGGAGGCCCCCTATCAGAACGTGTCAAGTTAATACACATCCGGTGTCGATTCGTTGATTTTTCCTGCTATTGTGCCCCCCCACCCATTTTGGGGGGCCCCGACGGCCACATGTTAGATATCCCCCCCCTGGGAGCCCCAAGAGGCTTCAGGAAGCCGCAGGTGGGGTCCAGGAGGCCACAGGAGGCCCAGGAGGAAGCCCCAGGAGGTCACCAGGAGGTCCCAGGAGGCCCCAGGAGGTCCCCGCAACTCGGAGCTCTGAGATGCCGCGCTCGAGGTGGTCCGGCCCGTTTCGCCTAAGACTGCCTCGCAGCACGTTTCGCCAGAGACATCGTCGCAACTCCGGGGTCCGAAATGCCGCGCGCGAGGTGGTCCAGCCCGTTACGCTGGAGACATCCTCGCAACTCTGGGCTCCGAGATGCCGTTCGGGAGGAGGAGGAGGAGGAGGAGGAGGAGGAGGAGGAGGAGGAGGAGGAGGAGGAGGAGGACGAGGAGGACGCATGTTTTAACATGCCATGCCAGCCCGCACTGGACGGGCACGCAATCGACCTTGGAAACCGCAGTGGGTCTAAAAACCCTGTTTGGGGATACTGCACCCCGGCTATAATTGGTTCTATGTTTTGAACTCGCTGCTGTTTTTCTTTCAAAATCTGCCTGTAGGAGGACATGCCCGACCTAAGACTGTAACCTGATCACTTATACGGAGCCGATGCGTGTCACAATCCCTTCTTCCCGCGCGCTCGCGCCGTGGCTCCGAAAACCCCACGCCGTGCGCGGTCAGCACCGCCGCAGCCCAGGCCACCAGGTAAGGGCCGCCCATCAAAAGGCTACCTTAACGGATCGACAGGATACCAACCTCAATCGAGAGGAAGTCTGCGTCACCGCATTCCAGAGCAATGGTGGCGTTGACCGAGCAGTCGCTGCCGACAACTATTTTGCGCACAGGCACCAAGGCGATCTTGTCAACTCCTATTGACAACACCGCTCCGGCCAGTAAGCTCAGGAGCGGGCTGATGAAATTGTGCGGAAAAACAACATCTGCTTCACCTCGCTGTGCTATTCTTTCATGCGCAGGACGGGCTACATCCGCGACTCACCAGGGTCTGTGGTTTCTGTCGGTGCCCACCACCGTAACGGCACGGCCCTACTCATTAGTTCTGATGCGTTATATCTGGACGTCCCCGTCGCACTCGCTCCCAACGCGGCGGAGGACGGGACATCATGCACCAGTACCATTTCACTCCACTCGCTAGAAGAGGGTAGCCGTCTCCTGCAACAGGTCTGTTGCCAGGACAAGCCCCTTACACTGCCAGTCC